ACTGATACTGATTCAACAAAAATTTCTTTCACTTCAAATGTTTTTGCTTCACCACAAACCACCACCATTTATGAATCTCAACTTGCCACCACCACACTCTCTTCAACAACTCAAGCACCTGGTTTAATCACCATTTCATCTCTCACTACACCCATTTCATCAAAACCTATTCCTACATTCACCCCAACCATCATTACTCCCGTTTATGAAACTACTACACCACCACCAGCTACTCAATCATTATTTGATTTTTCCTTTTTCAACCCAGCTCCAATCCACATTGACTCACCCACTATTCACTCTGATCCTCAATCACATTCTGATCATGAAATGCCTGAAAGGACCATTTCTGACCATTTTGAAATCCCCACTACCGAACCATTCAGTTTTTCTGAAATCATTGATCTTGTTGGCCTACAATCCTCTGACCTACAATCCTCTGAACTCAATACTTCTGAACCAACCTCTTCTGAACTAGCTTTAATTGTTTATGAAAAGTTTGTTCCAAAAACCTTGGATGAATGCATTAACATGTTTAGAATCAAGACTAAGAAAAAGGTTGCAAAACTAAGGGCTGAGGCAAGTACTAGTACTAAGCCTCATGACATGGATGTTTCATAGAAACTATTTCAGAAGTGGATGTCTTTTGAGTTTGAAAGACTAAAGACCTTCTCTGAAGCATCCAGAATTGTTGTTGTTCAAACGGTGACAGAAAGAGAGGACAAAATCAGATTCTTCCAACTCATTGCTAAGAAGCAAAGAGAAGTTAAAGCTAGAGCACTCCAAGAGGCAGAAGAAGCTAGGCTTAGGTCTGAGGAAGATGCCAGAGTTGTTGAGGAAGCCAAGTTGGTTGTGGAAGCTGAAGAGGCAGAAAAGGCAAGACAAGATGCTTTGGTTGTGTCTTCTTCTGATCCTGTCATTGCGCGTCTGGAAAACACAATCGGTGAGATTAGATGAGAACAACAGGTTTTCAGAGAAAGTATCATTGAACAGAAGGTTGTCAACGAGAATGTTCAGAGTATGCTGAAGCTGATTCTTGACAAGATATCTCCTCCAACACCTCCTACATCTGGACCCTAGGCTCTTAGGTTTTTATTTTACCTTTTGTTTCTGAACCTCAGAACTACTTGCTTCTTATGTTTTGGTTCTTATCTTTTCTGACTTATGATCTTCTAATTCTTAATGAAATTTATTTTGGTTTATCACTTATTATTTTACTTGTTATTTTACCTTTTTGATTATGACAAAAAGGGGGAGTAAATAACTGAAAGTAATATTTTAATTCTGATAATCAAATTCTGGAAAACGTCTATAAAAAGAGCTGCTTACATTCTAACCCAGTTAAACTTTTATTTATGTTAGAATTGTTTTTTTTTTCCAGGAATTATGAACTCTAATTAAAGTCAAGATCTGAAAGTATTAAACAAGGCTTTTGTATAACTTTTGGATTCAAACTCTGAGAAGTTCTTAAGTTTATAATCAGACTATTCATAACCAGGCTCTGAATTGAGAATCTGGAATTTGTCTTTGTGACGCTAGAGGTTCAAGATCTCAATTGGCATGATTGGTATCAAGACTCTCAAGATCTCAATATCTAATCTATTGGAACCAGGGGGAGTTCTACTCAAATGGCTCAGAATCAAGATATTTAATCTTCATCAAGTCTTTGAGTTAGGGGGGGATTCCAGGATATTTAATCTTCATCAAGTCTTTGAGTCAGGGGGAGTTTCATAAAAAGGATAAGTATTTCTTACCTTTCTTATTTTACTTTTTCTGATTATGTACAAAATTGTGTCATCAAAATACATAATTTTGTCATCATCAAAAAGGGGGAGATTGTTAGAACAAGATTTGGTTCTACAACTTTATCTCTGAGTTTTGATGATAACAAAAAGTATGTTTGTATGAACAATTTTGATACTCTAATGTGTGTTACTTGTGGGTATCTGACAAACAGGTTCTTCTTCTGATGAATGGTGTGACCAAGATATTAGAAGAGACAAGTTCCGCTTGTGCGCTACACAAGTTTTGATAAACAGTAGCAAGACACTCCAGAAGACTCTGAAGTGTAGGCTCTGATATGAAGTCTAAAAAACTCGGTAGAAGATCTGAAAACAGAAGTTCTGCTAATGTCCAGATGCTAAAGACTTATGTTTCTGAAGACAACGTGTTCTAAAGAAACCAGTCAGAAGATCTGAAGACATAAATTTCTATTGAAGTCCAGATGTTGAAGACACATGTTTTTGAAGACAAAGGATTCTCAAAGACCGAGTGCTGAAGATTCTGAAGACGCAGTTCTGAAGACTTGAAGTTCTGAAAACCCAAGGTTCTAGAAAAGGTTCTCAAGACCAAGTGTTGAAGATTCTAAAGACGAAGTTCTTAAGACTCTGAAGACTTGAAGTTCTGAAGACCCAAGGTTTTAGAAAAGGTTCTCAAGACCAAGTGCTGAAGATTCTGAAGACGCAGTTCTGAAGACTCTGAAGACTTGAAATTCTGAAGACGCAATGTTCTAGAAAAGGTTCTCAAGACCAAGTGCTGAAGATTTTGAAGACGAAGTTCTTAAGACTCTGAAGACTTGAAGTTCTGAAGACCCAAGGTTCTAGAAAAGGTAAGTGTTGAAGATTCTGAAGACGAAGTTCTTAAGACTCTGAAGACTTGAAGTTCTGATGACCTTAGTGTGATGTTCTCTCTTCTAAGCTCATGCTCGCAGAAGCCTCTGAAGTACAGAAGAAAAGAAGATAATGTTAACGTTGTCCAATAGTACATGGTACAATCAAAACGTTTCATTCCACTACCATGAAGGACGCACGATGCGTACGATCTTGTCCCCCCACGTGATTCAAGCCGCCAAAGATTCTGAAAATCCCAAGAGTACCCATCAACGGATATATTATTTTATTGGCTATATAAAGGACTTGAAGACTAAGAAAAAACGGCTAATTCACGCCAATTCACATTGATACACTTTCTATTAAGATTGTTCATACGTTTTCATATTTCTCTAGTTTATGTTTTAAAATTACTGATTACATATCCGCTTGTGTAGAAGCATAATTTCTTGTAAACAAACTTTGTTTAAACAGTTGTTTGATTTTCCTTAAGGGACCAGTTGGTCAGAATCTTTGAGAAGTCTAAGATTAGTGTGTCTTAGAGGTTGTAACGTTAGTCACTTGCAGTTAGCTTGTGCATTGTAATAATCAGTTTGATTATTGGATTAAGTCCTTGTTTGATAAGGCGAAATCACCTTGGCGGGTGGACTAGACTAACTTGATAGTTTTCAAGTAAATTAGTATAAACATAACTTGTTCTTTCCTTCTTGCATCTTATCATTATTATCACTAAGTGAAGTAACTTGTTACGGTTTAAAGGAGATTTTAAAAAGAAATCCCATTGTTTCACGCTTTAAGCCTAAAGAGCTCTTGCATGAGGGAGTGCACATGAGATACAATGAGTCTTCACTAAATAGGTTAAGCTTTTGGAAGAGTATTCACGAGACAAAACATTTAATTGACTTCGGCACAAAAACACACTTCAGAATCCGGACAGAGTCATGTATTTCCTTGTCAAGCATTCATGTAGTTTTATCATGGACCATAATGAAACTCAAACAAGAGCTGTCACTTATTAGAGTATCTATAGTTTAGCATATAGAAGCTAAGGCTAAGAAGAGATAATGTAAGCAGCTAAACTGATAAGTTTAGACTGCATAGCTATTCTATACAAACTGTCACAAACAGAGATGTAACTAACTTTCAGAAATAAGAAAATCAATTGCAACTAACTCTTTCTCTTCTTACCTATCAAACAAAGTATATAAAGGATCTGCTCTCAAAGGCAAATATGGTTGAATCTAAAGGGCTGCCTACTCCTCTGATCACTAGTCTAAAACTGTCAAAAACATGGGACAGGTGTGCTTCAAGAGCCTACTTTCTATAGATCTATTGTTGGGGCCCTACAGGATGCTACTCTCACAAGGCCTGAGATCAGTTTTGCCGTAAATAAAGCTTGTCAATTTCTCTCCAATCCCCTGGGGAGTCATTGGACAGCTATGAAGAGAATTCTCAGGTACTTAAAGGGCACACTGCAACATGGTCTTCTGCTCCAACCTACTTCTACTCAGGCTCCTGTCTCCATTAAAGGGTTTTCAGATTCAGATTGGGGGTCTGATCCTGATGACAGAAGATCCACTTCTGGTTCCTGTATCTTCCTTGGCCCTAATCTGGTCTCTTGGTGGTCCAAAAAGCAAATCTTAATGGCCAGATCCAGCACTGAAGCTGAGTACAGAGCTCTTGCTCAGCTTCAGAAATTATGTGGATTCAATCTCTCTTAACTGACCTTAAGGTTCCCTTTTCTACTCCTGTGATGTTTTGTGACAACCTGAGTTCAATTGCCCTGTCACATAATCCTACATGCCAAAACAAAGCATATAGAGCTAGACATATTTTTTCTTAGGGAAAAAGTCTTAGACAAGACTTTACTGATTCAACATGTTCCTGCCTTTGATCAATATGCAGATCTGCTCACAAAACCTCTTTCTCCTCAAAGGTTTCTGCAGCTCAGGTCTAAACTTCAGGTCCATGATAAAGTCTCCTTGCTACAAGGAAGACCTTGATCTTGAGGGGAAGATATTAGAGTATCTATAGTTTAGCATATAGAAGCTAAGGCTAAGAGATAATGTAAGCAGCTAAACTGACAAGTTTAGACTGCATAGCTATTCTATACAAACTCTGTCATAAACAGAGATGTAACTAACTTTCAGAAATAAGAAAATCAGTTGCAACTAACTCTTTCTCTTCTCTACTCTCTCTCTCTCTCTACCTATGCTACTTTTCTATTATCACTTACTGAGGATTGTAACTCTATTTTGTATAAGAAAAACAAGGCAATAATGGAACTCAAAATGATACAAAATGGCTTTCATCCATTGCGAATAAAGATATTATATAAATTCAAAAGTATATACCAAAACAAAGGATGCTTGCAAATTAAAGAAACAAAACCTACCTGCATATCATGGAAATCTTTTCCAGCATGTGAATTTACTTCAAATAGTGAATGAAGATACAAATGTAAAAAGTATCTGCATTCAGACTTGTTATCGGCATTCAGAAGTTGCTTCACAACCTCGGGTGAACTTATCAATTCCCTGTTCTGTATAAACAGAGGAACTGCACGCTTGCAATCTAGCATCATCAGTTGGACAACCTTAACAGGCAGAGATTTAACAAATTAGAGTCCATTGATCATACAAAGAAATGAAAACAAAAACAAAAACAAAAAAACAGAGCTCGTACTAAAAGTCAAGAATATAATTAAACAACTCTTTTCCTCTATAAATAAGTTTGAGAATGTTCAAATCTAAATCAACCAATTCTTGAATCAGGTATAGGACTTCGTTGGTTTATCCATTTTGCCATATGCACTCAATATATCAAAAGATACGGTAAACATGGATAACTAAATCGTAATATAATTCAGTAATGCTTGGTAAGAAAACTCCTCAGGAGCTTAAGATCCAATGCCAACAGATACATTAAATATGAGTTTGCACACCAGGTAAGATCTAGAGATGTATACAAAGTATGGATTAAAAAATTCATATTTTCACAAAAATGCTGTTATACCTTTTCTTGAATTGCATCATGTAGGTTATGTTTATCAATAAAATCAAATACTTCTGGCTTCATAAGCTGAAAATTTCAAACAAAAAAGTTGAAGTGAGAAAATGAAAGTGAATGAGCAGCCAAAACAAAATAGACAATGGACTCTATTATAAAGCAAAGAAATGTTGTTGGGTTTAAAATATACCACCTACAACATAGACATTGTATGACATTATATAATGTAACTGCTTCCTGAATGCAAGAAAGAAAAAAATAATTACACCACCTACATCTGCATACAATGAGTAGGCTTTCTCATATTGTCCATCAATTACATACAACTCCGCTAATGCCTGCAATGGAATGAGAATATGTTAACAGAAGGAAAATGTTGATGGGTTCAAAATACAATTATAATTAATTGGGATTAACCTCTTTGAGTAAGTCAGTCATGGACGAAGTATTAAGCTGTGGTTCAATGGCTGAAATAACAGGTGGTGCAGAATAGATTACAGATGGCCAGGATTTTACAGTGGATAAGAGATCCTTATGGAAAGATGAATTTGTAGCCAATGCAACAAGAGCAACCTGTAGAGTCAAAAGCATAATAGATGAATTATATTCCCAGTTTATTAAATACAGATACTAATCATACATGTTAATTGTAACAGAGAGCAGTGTGTTTTAACGAACCTCATAAGCAGTATCACGTAGTCTCGGGTTTTCGGTAGGCATGTAAGGAACCAAAACAGGGAGTTGACGTAGATGTGCAAAGTGGAAGACCCATCTGGTGAAAATGGTTAATTTAACACTCAATTACAAAATATGAACCCCACAGCCGATTACAAATAATCTTAATGCCTTACGCAGTACCTCTCCCATGCGGAAGCTGATCCTCGCAGTAACTTGGGACATAAAGAAGCTGCTTCACCATACTTTCTTTCCACAATCAGATGATCAAGGTACCTAGATCCCACCTGCAAAGATACGAGGAAAGTGAAACACTTAACTATCATTATACTCAAATTAAGAAATTAGCTAGAAGGAAACAATACATAGATACTGTTAGGAGCCTGAAGACATTGTAAAGAAAGAAATAGAAAAAATCAAAAGAATAGAAGCACGTTACTGAAAATTGAACAGAAAATGGAGAATAGAAGTCTCCCTAAGGGATTTGCCTTTATAGAGAATTTTTCCTTACACGGCTATCAAAGGTAGACAGGGAGTGACTCCCTCTGTCTTAAGAGCTACCCGCATAATACATAATATACTTTTACAGTGTTTTATTACAAAATATCAAAGAGGATATAGGAAGGTACAATAAAGGAGAGGACAAGGTATCCACAACTTTAAAAGGCTAAATCATAACAAACATAACGCTAACCAATCGCATCAAAATAGAAGCTTGGAAAAAATGTGATGAAAGAGAAAGGAACATCATGTTTCAATACTGACCAAATCAGATATAAATGTTTCTATTAATATAAGCAGAGGGGATTAATAACTTTATATCATGCAATCTCAATTCACTAAATAGAAAAATACTATTGGTTTCATTTCATTTTTCTTTGAGCTTAGATCTTGAGTATCTGTATACATTATTATTGATAGCAAAATACATGATGACAGATTAGAAGGCTTTTGAGAAACAAAACAATTGAAGGGCCGTCACATTATGCAATCAACATAAACAGTGCCTCTATATGCATATAAGCATGCCCTTATTCCAATTACTTAACATACAATTATCGAATATAATGTTTCCATAAAAAATTAAATAAAAAATACCAAATATATATATATATATCTTAAATAAAAATCCAGAAAATTAATTGAATCAGGATGAAGTTAAAGTTAAATACCTCATCACGTAGTTCACTGCGACCCTGACCAGATTCAACTACAGCTAAAGCTTTTTCATGACATCCATGTTGAAGAAGCCAAGCAATATGATCTTCAGTATCCCTGATTATCAAAATGCATCAACTGCTATACATATTTTATTTTTTCATTATGTAGAAAATCCTATAATAAAAGTAGAAGATTTAAGACATATTAAAAATTCCAGCAATTCTTTTAACAACAAGTTTAAGCTGAAGAACATATTTCAATTGTTTTAAGTATTCATTAAAGCATGATGTTCATTCATTGAAGTATGTTCTTCATTGTTCTTCTCTTATGCATAAAAATATAATAGGATAAAGAACATGAAATTAACCTTGGCTTTGCAATAACCACGTCCTTTGGGGATACAATATAGTATAGTGGTTCATCGCCTGCAGCCCACTGACCACCAGCATAACTGCTACCTACATTTGAATGAAAAACAACATTTGCTATGCATACTATCCAAACACAAAACATGCATGTAGGAAACTACTAGTACCTATTATTATGGTGTATATTAGGAAAACACACAGCACAGTAGTCCAAGCCCCAAGAAGACGATGGTTCATGTACAAGATTGAAAAAAACGCACTCAGGAAATTAAGGACCTATTTGGTTTGAGAGAACACTTTTTATCTTCGGAAACAGAGTAGGACTTCGGTAAATACTAGCGAAAGCGTAAAATGAGAACACAGTTTTCTTGAACCATACAGGTCTTAAGATCTTAGGGACAGAATGTTTAATGTAAAATAGGTTGCCAGTGAGGCAGTGTTGTTGATGGGGGGAAATGGCAGTTCATTCAAATGACGCTACTCTACAGCGTAATAAGACCTCTATAGCCGTTGTTTGGTAACATTTTGTGCTCAATAGCATATTATCGAATAATAACGATTTTCTCAAACTCTGCTACTTTGTAGCTGCTGAATAACAATGATTTGCTCAAATTCTGCTACGTTGTAGCTGCTATTTGACAATACTGCAATGAGGTGATTGGAGGGGAAGTTTGATCTGTATGGATATAAAAAGGAGAGGAAGTAGACAAATGGGTAAGTAAAAGTGAAGGGTGAGGGAAAGTGCAGGCTGGCACTGATATAGCATGTTACCAATCTTTTTTTTCAGCCATCTGTTTTCCACAGTAACTCCACCACACTTGTACTGATACCACACTGATATCAGTATACAAAGAAGAATAATGCAGTGGATTCACCATAACTGAGTAAGTTTTGATTCATTTTCTATCAATAAATCATAATCAACAATAACAAAATGTTAACCTGAAAAGGGAGCGTGAGCAAGGGAATAGTCATTTGCCTTGTAATGCTCAAACCCATGTACTGGTAAAGCATCTGTTGAAAGTTCGTCATTATTCCATGTTACCACTCTTACTTCAGGTCTTTGTGCATTGCCCTGTTCAAAATTTGTTTACTCGAGTTTAGAACAGGGTTAGTTTCCAAATTTAGTGGAAGAGAGCAGTATAAGAAAGAACTACCTCACTTCTCATTCCTTAAATAAACACGGTATACATTTTATTTTTGACAAATGCAACCGACACCTCTGAAAAAAGGCGTGTCCGTGTCGGTATCGGACACTTGCACCGACACTTGTGATTACGTTAAATTTATTCATTTTTTTCAAATTACTACTGGTGTCGCCGTGTAAGTGTCGGGGTCGTATTCGGGGTGTCCATAACAGATGGAAAATAAAATGTATATAATCTCAATGAGGCATAACATATTAAGTTTGTGCTGAAAATAACTAATTTCCTGAAGCAACATTATTCTGGTTTGGTGTGGTCACTTAACGAACCTAATGAAGCAAACAAAAAAAGTCCAATAGAGCCAGTTCATTGTTTTAATTCCTCAAACGAACAAATAAATTAATTTCAAATGACCAATATGTCCAAGTCCTTATGACCAGGAAATGACCTCTTAAAATTAAAATTCCCAGAGGAAGATCCTTCATTTAATTTAAGGTAAAACAGAAGATTGAACAAAGAAAACTAGTTGCAGCTTAAAATATAGGAAGGGGAGGATTTACATTGTAGCAGGTGCAAGGACAGCATGCAAGCAATATAAATACCTGCCGTGAAGGAGCTGAGCTACTAAAATCTTTATCCCCATCTTCTTCTCCAGGAATATAAGCTAGAACAACCAAAGAATCACCAAAAGGGGCAAGTCCTGAGATGAAATAGCTGGTTTGAAAAGATGCCACAATATCAACCTGGGTCATACCAAGCAAAGGAACTTGCCTGTATGCCCCATTCGTGGCTTTATGGAAATTTGTCTTAATTGAGGCAATTTTGATCGATGTTCCCCAGCCAATAACTAAGACGGTGTCATCCTAATAAGTGATGGAAGAATATTAAGTTCAGCAGTTTCATCAAGAAATGGAACAAAAACAAATGAAACAATGACATTGTCGCTGTTCTAACATCAAAGTGATAGAACAAGCCTTCAAATGAACACAACTTGAAAAGCAAACATAGCTCAATAGCATGCCTGTATAGATATTTGACTAACCTGCCAAACCAAGTGAGGAAGCAAAAGCTCAGGGTGAGGACACCCTCGCGGTCTTTCGATAAATGTTATTCTCCGGTCATTAGCAGTATCATAAACCTTCACTCCTGCATCATTGGCCCAAGCAACAAGACTTGCTCTCCACTTCACAGCATGTATTGAACCTTCACCAGAGTGCAAAACCTTTTTTTGGGAGGAGGACAGGGCATTTTATAGTTAACAAACCAAAAATACCATCCAGAACATATATGCTGCTAAGAGTTACAATAATTTTACAAACCTGGTCCCGATAGCCCAACCATTTCTTCGAATTTAAATATAAATTACCAGCTAAACCACCAGCAATAAACCTCCTAGACATTTTCCTTGCATAATCAGGATCCAAAGCAATTGCCTTCATGGGGCGATGGTACTCAAATTTCATTAACTCATCAGTAAACAAGCTGTTTATAACAACCGATCCGTCATCAGAACAGCTTCCAATATATTCCCCTTCTAGGTCAAAGCTAAGGTCATTCACAACAGAAGCATGGGCAGAGAATTCCTTCACCTGCAACAAATTCACTGATCAGAAACAGCTTCCTTTGTCATAACAAACGAAACAGCTTCCAAAGTCACTGATCAGAACAGGCAAGTAATTGGCTATCATATGAATATAACAACAGCTACAATCCACAACACTACAAGTGATATCTCTCAAAGGCACATATAGTCAACACAGGCGAACCAATATCTAAAATTCCTGACGCAGCCATAAGATAATGTCAATTAAAACAAAATGCCAACCTCACTGTGATTTTGGAAGCAACTTTCTTCTGATTTTAATTTCAAATTTTCATCACTAATTACATAAATAAACCTAAATTTCAACAACTTCACTATTCAGTAAACTACTTATTAATTACATAAATAAACCTAAATTTCAATAAGTTTACTATTCAGTAACCTAAGAAATGAAAACACAGTAATTTTTCTCAATCTATACATACATTGATTTGATTGATTCCTGCTTCAATAATAACAGCACAAATTCGCGAAAAATAATCGATAAACATTACAGAGCATCGAGGTAATACAAACTGACCTGATTCCCGAGAAAATCAAGGATATGAATGGTACCAGCATGAGTACCAAGTGCGATCATACGCTCAGCCACCGCCACACACGACGCCGCATCAGCAGCTAACAACGACGGCACGCTACCTCCCATTCTCTGATACTTGAGTCTCGGTTCTTCTTCGTCATCTTCGACTTCTTCTTCTTCGTCTTCCTCTTCGTCTTCTTCGTCCTCCTCTTCTTCTCTTTCGTCGTCTCCATCCACGCCGTTCTCAGGCGGAATCGGAGCCATTCGGATTGTTATTCCCGGTAGCTTCTTCGTCGGAAGAAGATTGATTTAACGGTGAATTGAAAATGTGCACGGTGAAATGAAACTGTGTTGTGACGCAGATCTGTTTAGTAATCTTCCAACGTTTTTTCCCCTTTTTTCAACTTTTTTTCGCTGTTGTGTATTTGTAAATTGAACCGGAAAATATTACTCGTTCGAAATTTCCTTTTTCGTCAAAAAAATATATATTTTTAGCGGCAATGAAATAATTAATGCCTAAACGACAAAGAAATTAACTAGTAAATTCTTGTTTGTGGCTTTTCTTTTATATATATATATATATATATATATATATATATATATATATATATATATATATATATATATATATATATATATAATTCAATATATATAAAAAAATCACAATTTATATAAATAAAACTCAATATATATAAAGGAATCACAATTAGACACGTAGTAGACTAAAAAATAGCACACAAAAATTAAACAAATGGTAATACTATTATTTTATATTTAACTCGAAATATTATGTGATTTTGATTTGACTCATTTATTTACTTTTTATTTTAATTTTATAACAGATATAAAGTATAAAATTATAAGTGAGTGTGATTTATTTTAGAAAATAAATTAATATCTTGTAAATAAAAAGTATAATATCTTGTAGTCCAAAAAAAATATAAAAAATATAAAGTATAAATAAAAATTAGAAATTTAATTCTGATTTAGAAGTTGAAGTGTATTTTCGATGTTGTTCTTTACAAAAATCAAAAAACATTATTAAATTGCATCATAATTTTACAATACAATTCAGTTTATAAAATTAAAATTTTATTTTCGATTATATATGAAATATTAAGGTGTCAACAAAATTCATTTTTCTCATTAATAAAATCAAAAATAAAATTTTGGTTTAAAACCGAAAACATAATTTCGATATTATTTTTTATATTTTAAAAAGGTGAAACTACATTTGACTTTTTTTATATAAAATATAATACAAATCAAAAATGAATTTTTTTATAAAATATAATACAAATCAAAAATGAGTTTCTGTTTTTCGATGGACAATTTCAAAATTACATAGATATTTCTTTCTATATGGGGTCAATAAGAAAATTCCCAAAAAAAATAACTATAATGTGTGAGTATTGCATAGATATTTTTTCTATATGGGGTCAATAAGAAAATTCCCAAAAAAAATAACTATAATGTGTGAGTGTGACACATCCCCTTTTGTGGGTCTTTCCAATTGGCAAGGAAGAAAATGGAGTGAACAGATAATTTATAGGTAGGGGTGAACCCCAAAGGAGACACGCATGGGGTGTCACTTGTCAGCGTCACCACTCACCGGCCACATAACGTCTTCTTCTTTTTCTATGAGCGGTTGAGTACATCTTTTTATAGATATTTTAAAAATTCTATATTAAATTAAATGTGACAAACAAAGAACGGATGAAGAAATTATAATTAATGGGGCAAATTATAATTTAATACATGTTTTATTTTTTAAATGGGCTGACTATGATTCTTGACGATGTTGATAGAAAACAAATCTTTATTCTTTTGCATTTGACACTATCAAAAATCATGTAAAACATATATACTTATATTAAGAGAAACATGTATGCTCAGGAACATCTAGAAATGGATGTTTTTCGAAAAACATAAATGAAATAATTTTCCAACTATCTCAGCATATTAGAATAAACATCTAATATAGAAAAAGTAAAGTATTTCGAAAAAATCGCAATTAGATTTCTGATTTTTAATTATAAATTTAGACTATTTTAAATTCACGATTAAAATTGATTAATTGTATTTTTATTAAAATTATATTGATTTGATAATTAATGTTATTGAGGTGTTAATTCACCGTTTAACCTTATTGATTTTTTATTTATTTTATTTTCTGATTAAAAATTATAATATGTTGAAATAACTTTTTAATAACTATTAAAATGATACAATTACGTTAAAAACTTAAACACAGTAAATATATTTATTTGGGCAATTGAACACTCATATCTATCAATATTTTTAATCAATTAGAAGTCTAAAAAATAAATGGTACTAATAAATTACCAATGTTTATAATTAATTAGAAGTCTAAATAATAAATGGTACTAGTAAATTTTTAGATACGCAATTATTTGGGTGGGTAATAGGGGTGGTAAATGGACTCTCGTTTAGGTCTATTCCACAAAAGTCTGTAAAAAATGAAATAGACTGATGAAATAGACGGATATAGTTGATGATGAAAATCTAAAATTAACGTAAAAAATGAATACGGTTTAGAGAAAATTCACGAATACTACACTTTATAAGTCTAAAAATATAAAATTTTATGTTAATTTTTATGTCCACAAAAATCTGCGAAAAAAATAGAATAGAACGCAAAAAACACATTAACATTAGACCATGTGCAATGGGTATGTTGAGTTTGAACTCAACATACAAAATCTCCTCCAATGGGTGTTGAGAGAGGTGTTGAGTGTGTGTTGGAAGAGAGAGGTGTTGAGAAAACTCAACACAATTGAAAGGGATAAGTGCAGCCACGTGGCTGTGCTTGATTGGCTGACCAGATTTTTATCCATTTAATACTTTGAACTCAATTATTTCGTTGCAAATTAATTTTTTTTTATTTTTTTTTTTTACCAAAATTCATGATTTTTTTTTCTCTATAAATAGAGACTTGGTTCATTTGATTTGGACACAGAAAAAAAAACTAAGTTTTTCACTATCTTAATTTTATTATTAGTGTTTATTTTGAAGTTAAGTGTTTTTTTTATTAAGTATTTATTATTTTAATTTAATTTTAATCGATAATTGTAATTTTATGTAATCATAAAAATAAAAATAAAATTTAAATAAGAATATGAAAATAAAAAGTGGTGGGGTAGGGTGTTAAGTGAAAAACCATTGGAGAGGGTAAAAGTTGAATGAGTGTTGAGTTATTAGGTGGAATAAAGAGAAAATGATGTGGAGTGTTGGGAGTTGAAAAAGTGGGTGTTGAGTTGAAAAACCATTGTAAATGGTCTTAGAAGATGGAAACCTAAATAATAATACATTTTAATGGTATGGATTCCAAACAATAAGTTATTAAATTTAGAATTTAATATATTTAGAAAAAACATCATGAATTTTTTTCCTTATTTTAGAAATCTTATATATTAAAGTTTTTAAGTTATTGGAGTCAATTTTGGAACCAAAAATAAAATTACTTAAATAATTTCATTTATCAACATTTTTTAATTACTTCTTAATTATTAGTATTATTTAATTTAAATAATTAATTTAAAGAAAATAATACAAAGTCATCACACCTCTCACTAAATCAATTTAGAGTTACTTAATTGAATAAATATATTTTTTTTAAACTTGCATCCCACATTTTCAATTTCAACTACTTAGTTTAGTAAAAAAAACTTACACCCCACATTCTCAATTGCTTAATTAAATAACCCACTACTTCATCATCATCCCACTAGCAAAAATAACCACTTTCAAAGAGATGTATATGACTAATGATTTGTTCAATTGCACCTTCTAAAACTACTACCATTCAAAAAATTATTAATTATTCTACTGATTTTTTTTCTCTAAATATTTGCTACTAGCAAGTAATTGTTCATATTAATGATATGAAGTGGAGTTGATTGTTGTGTGCACCTTCTGTAGATATTGTTGTTTCTTCTTTAAAAAAAATTAATTAATTCATAACAAATATGCCTCATTTAATTCATAACAAATATGCCTCATTTAATTCATAACAAATATGCCTCATAATGGTTGAGGCATAGAAACACTCAATGGCTTATGTTTTTTCTCTCTTTTTCTTTTCTGTTTTCTTATTTGCACATTCTAATAGATAGAGGAATTATACATACAATTAAGATATTTTCATAGATCGTCTAATTTTCTATTTTATTAGTTTTTAATTATTCAAAATTTTCTTTTTATTTCACTTTTACATGTATCAAAATGTGATGAATGGAGAAGTTACACATAGAATTGAGGTATTTATTTTTCAGTATTTTTTATTTATCTCACATTGTATTCTAACTTATTGTTGTAGTTTTTAAATAATTTTTATTTTTTAAAAATTATTTTCAACCTATTTTATGGACTTCAATCGTCACTATTGATTCATAATATTAAACCTATGTTGAGATTCTTCTTCATTTTCTTTACACACTTCTTTTTTTTATCTATATTTAACATTTTTTTTACAATTGATATTTTTCAATAATTAATAATTTGGTTAACAAATTTTTACGTGATACAAGAGACATAATTGATATATATGTATGTAAATAACACAAAATCAAAGTAAGCCAACATGAATGGTAGGTCATTTGTGATTATTTTTAAGGTTATATCTTGCTCTCCTTTCTCTCTTAAATTTTGTTTTAATTTTATATAAAAAAATCACAATGTATTCTAACTTAATGATATATTTTATTTTATCTATTTTTGTTTTTTGTTTAAAGTATATAACTAAAAGTATACAAATAACTAAAAAAGTTATAAAAAATATGGGGCAGCAACGTGGGTTTTAAAGGTTTTTTTATTATTTAATTAATTGTTTTTTTATAGACACTACGTCAAAAAAGACTTACGAAAGCATTTTTTTGGCATTTAAAATCGCTTTTTAAGGTGGCGCTGCTGTAGGTTTTAGCAGCGGTTTTTGTTTAATGAAAAGCGCTTTCGTAAGTCTACCTAATACATCACTTTTTCTAAAAAACGCTCTCTTAAGTAGGTTTTTGGCAGCGCTTTTTTATGAAGAAGCGCTTTCATAGGTCTACCTAAGACAGCGTTTTTTTCTGGAAAAGCGCTGTCATATGTTTACCTTAGACAGTGCTTTTTGTGAAAAGGCACTTTCATAGGTTACCTAAGGCAGCATTTTTCTTGAAAAAACGCTTTCATAGGATGTTTTCAAAATCATTTTTCTACACTATTTCCTCTTCCTCACTGAAAACGCATAGAATATGCCATCTCAT